TTACAATTTTTTTTTAATGTTTGTAAATAAATCTGAATTTTATGCTAAATTACTGAAGAATAACTTAAGATATATATTTTTTTTAATTAAAAACAATCACAATTCAAGTTTTATTCAAATAAATTTTGATAGTAACTATTATATATACATATGTATAAATGTAAGGTACGAAGGGGTTCAAATATAAGGAATTAACGTGAAATAAATTATCATTTTTTTTGAAAAAGTTGCCATTAAGTTACACAAACTCAAGTTTGAAGTGTTTTTTTAATCAACTTTGCTTAATAAAATATAACGAGCGTAAGAAAATAACATTTCGCAATTATGGTTATCTGCGATTTCCATTAGTCTTTGGTGATGATAACATTTTGTGCTCGTTGTAACGTCGTTGCCTTTACAGTCCTCTCCTTTCCATACAACTCATGTATTTTTCTTGCGATGGTGCGTCTTAGTAGAGGCTAATGCGTGCGTTCATTCGTTGCGATCCTAATAAAATATTTCAGACCGACATCTTCCACAATACTAGTTGACCTGTTTGTAGCTACCCACTTTGCAAGGCGTGCATTGCATTTATATGATACTTTAGACTCGAAGTACTGTGATGAATATTTAGCTTTAGTTCTATTAACTCCTTTTTGAAGAGGTTCAAAATAAAAATGTCCGTCTAAGATTTTGGTTCCTTTTTTCATTTTTATAATCTTTTTCTTTACTTACATCACAACTCTTCATCAAATTTCTTTCTTTCTTTCTTGTCGTCCGAACATTAGAAATAATAACACTAAGTTTTATTATTGAAAATTATAATTTAATTATTACATAATTTTAAAACAATATAAAATAAACAAACAAAACTGTAATCAAACATAATAAAACTAGAAAACAATTTTTTTTAATAAATCAATGTAATATTAATGAGCAATAATAAGAAAAAATTATATAATGAGAAATGAACACCTTTACAAAAGAAAAATAAAGTAAAGCTTATGAAACTTAAAAAAAAAAACCGAGCTGCGGAAATTCATGACAAACTCATTGTAAAGAAATCAAATAATTTCTAATAATTTTCGACTAAAAAGTCGAAACAAAATTTAAGAAAAATATTTTCGAAAAATTTTTTTTTTTTTTTACTATACTAAAAACTGGAACTTTTTAACTAAAATTTAATTGTTCTGTAAACTTAAGATTGAAAGCCTGTAATGCGTCAACTCGATAAAAACGCGTTAATTTGCCCAACCCTACTTTCATTAAACTCTTCATTAGTTTTAGTTAACTAAGTATTTTTGCTTCAAGCGTAGGTAATAATCCCAATAAATCCAACAACTTAATCATATCTCATCACTTTTTCTCAATTTAATTTTTCTCATATTGATGTCAAAAAATAACTACAAATTATATAAATATGAAATTATATTAATATAAAAAAATTTGAAAGAAAAAATCATAATGAAAATATTATAATTCATAATGAAAATTTTTCTTATCTTAAAGTTTCCATATATCTTTTTTAATTTTATAATTTTTTATACTAATTGAATAAATTAGTAGTAATAAGTTTAATAAGTTGATAATAAGTTTACCCATTAAAAGTTTTATTTATATTTATTATTATTATCTGATACATTGCGGGCACGTAGCAAGTTTTTGTTGTTGTTTGAGATAGGTAGTTTTTAAACATACAGCACACTCCAAACATTAATAAATTTATGTTTATGTCAAAAAAGAAACATTTGCAAAAATTGAGATACATCAAAAATTGCATCAAATGAAAATTTATTTTTGAATCTTTCACACCGGTTTTTTTTCTTCTATATTTGCGGTAACAAATTTATTAAAAATTCGAAAAACAGCTGGATTTTTTTGTTTGTTTTTTTCTAAAAATCTTAAAATTATTCTTAAGTTTTTCTCAAAATTTAAGAATAATATTAAGATTTTTAGTGTTTTAAGAAGAAAAAATTTAAAAAATTTACAAAAACACTCTTCAATTACCTGTTGGCTAGATAAGACAACAAAGACAAAAAAAAAAATTAAGCAAATAAATATATTTATTAAACTTGATAAATATCATAAATCTACTTTAAAAACCTAACAAAAAATAAGTAACAAAGAAGTAAAAAAGTCTACTTTAATATCTAACAAAGCAAATAAAAATTAATCCAGGAATATGAAACTCACTGTGGTTGTCACAATTTTTTCACTCTACTCTATCTTAGAAATCAAAACTTTAGATAAATAAAATAAAAATAAAAACATAAAAAAAACAACATATTTTCAAGGAGGTGAAAATAAGTTCCGCTCTTCTTTCATGCAGCATTAAACGAATTAGTTTGCTAAAAAAAAAATTCACAACGAGGAGCGGAAATATTTATTTAACGTGATATCAAGATTATGTGATGGATACTTGGCGTTGCTTCACTGACTGAGGATACTTGATTAGATGCTGAATCATTAGTACGCTCTGTATTTATAGCAAAAATCATCTAAGCTAGCGGCAGCTAAGTACTGAACATATGCTGATATGTTTTTAGAGCTTTATATTGCTCATTGGGTGGGATGTTGCTTTTAGCAACAGATACAACAGGGTCTGGGCAACAAGATCTGGTCACCATGTCTGTTTTTGAGGGTATGTTTTCCAGAGACATCATATTCAATGAGAATAAGAAACAAGCTTGGTTGTTATTTGGCAGCTAACAATCATTTATACCAACAACATTAGTTTTATTTTAACAATTACTAAATTATTCCTCTGTATTCATCTCTTGAATTATAACTTTTATGACATCCACTTAAAATTGACGCTTCCTTACTTTATTGCATCTTATTTGGAACATCTAGTTTTTTTAATAACTGAATCAGAAATTTTTCTAAGTTAAATTTGAACTACCTATAACTTGCCACCATTAATAAAAACTGAATGTGAGTCATAACATTAGTTTTAAAACTAAAAAACAAAAGGTCAATCAACAAAATTTTCAAGAAAGGTAAATAAGGCGCTTAAAAATAAATTTTTTGAGCTTTACTGGCCACACAAGTTTGAATGACATTGTCATAACCCACCTTTCTAGCCAAATCTTCTTCAATTGAAGTAACCATAATTCAGTAACGCAATCTTGGCCCATGGTTGAACGAAGAGAGTTATTTACAATTTTTAGTTTACTAAACGATTGTTGACTTTACCCTCGGTAACTGTAAGTTAGTTGATTAAATTAAACGGACCGGGCGTGTTCCGTAAACCCATCAACAGCTAGTCATGATAACTCGTGCGAAAATTGCACGAAAGATGATGCGCTGTAGTAATTATGGTAGCTGATTAAGTTTTGATTTGAAACGGTCGAAACTAATAGCACTGACAACTTTGTTAGGCAGTGCGTTTGGGTGAGCAACGCGGTTATTGAAGAAACTATAGCGAACAAGTCAGTTGTTGTCCATTTTACGATGAGAGCGCTTACGATGACCGTAGCTTGGTGGGATGTTTGGTTGATTGATATGCTAAATGAGTCAATATCGATTTCGATTTTGTATTTTTGTATGAGGTTGTCACGTAAACGTCTATTTAGTAAAGAACTGAGGCCGAGTTTGGTGCATCTTGTTTTGTAATCAAAGCGTTATATTTTGTACGGTACTTAGGTAGCCCGATGCTGGATGCGTTCTGCAATGTATACTAAAATAATTTCAGGAAGAATCTGCATGGTTCACCGCATGTCGCTGAGTTATCTATTGGTGAAGGTGGCACTTATTGCAGTAAATCTGTAAATCCGAACTTTGTAGTTCCAAAAAAAAAAAAAAAATAATAACTAAGAGTGATTTTATGTAGTATGTGTTTCTATAGAATTTCTCTTTTTTGATCTTTATTGATGCTTATCATAGCTCTAAAGTAAGTTGATTTTTTGGGTGCCGTTAACTTTTTTATTTGTTCGAATAGCATTTAATTGCACGAGAAAACCTGATATTAAAAATTTAGGATTATTAAATCAAACAAAAACAAAGATTAGGAATTTATCGATATATGGCGAAAGCTTAATCTGAACAGTTCTGATTAAACAAACTCCGATGATGAAATTGAAAAATAACAAAGGTAACATAATATATAAACATTTTCATATATATATATATATATATATATATATATATATATATATATATATATATATATATATATATATATATATATATATATATATATATATATATATATATATATTATATATATATATATATATATATATATATATATATATATATATATATATATATATATATATATATATATATATATATATATATATATATATATATATATATATACATACATATATGTATATATTTATATATATATGTATGTATATATTTATATATATATATATATATGTATGTATATATGAACACTATTAGTCAAGCCATCTTTGTTTTACTTAGTAATGTAACAAAGTTTAAAAAAATGAAAATAAAAAATAAGGATTGCAAAAACATCAATCTACTTTGAAGTTATGTTAACGCCTAATAACCAACCGGTCACTAAGGCATACTGTCCTGTAAAATTTTAACACTATTTAACAAACAAAAGACCTTCAAAAATGGCAAATAAATGCTATACGGTCATTCCACGTTGTACAAAAAGTTTAATATTTAAATCTTAGAAAATAAGAAGAAAAAAAATAAGAAGCTAAATATATAACTCTAAAGTTAAAAGTTTGTAGTTTCTAAAAACATGTAAAACTGGTTTCCAAAGTAATTTAGAAAAAGATGCTTAAACTTAATAACAAAATTTTTTTAACTCTTCAATTTTTTTCATTTTTAACCCTTTTTTTTTTAACTTTTTAAAATTTCTATATATATTTGTCTCACACACTATAGATCGAGATCTTGCTTTTCAAATTGCAAAAGCATTATGCTAAATTAGTTGTCTTTCATTAAGAGTTTTCTGTTTGATCTGCTATAAATATGTCGCGCTGTGAATTGTCACTCTACTTTCATTTATAAAATCGAAACCAAATTTTAGAAACTTTTTACAGATTTAGTTTTCGAGTCGATAATACGTGATTTTATTAAGCGTAAGTTTCGTGTTTTTTTATATTTCTTTTTCTGTTTTTTTTTTCTATTTACTCTATTATCTACATTTACTCTCTTTCTCTGTAATATGCTTCATCTCATTAGCTTATTTCCTTTACTGTTCTACTTTAAAATTATAATGCATTTATTAAATTATCTATATTCGATTTGGCATGTCTTAAGATATTCGAATATAGTTTTTTTTTGCTTTATTTTTCATCAAGGGTTTTTTTTATTAAAGGTCTGGATATCGTGCGTTAATAAGTTCTTTTCAAACGCAAATTTTTTTTTCAAAAGTTGTAAATGTTGTATTGGTTTCTGTTTTCAAGGAAAACAGAACCCAACTTTTTTTAAATAAAATAGTTTCTGATGTCTTTAAAAGGTTGTGTACCAAATTGTTGCTCAAATTATAATTCTTCAGATTGTAAAAAACTTGTATACAACTTTCCTCGTCAAGTATCTGAAAAAAACAAGTAGTTTATGAGTATCCTTTGCTCACACTGGAAATGGCCATATAAGTAAAAGTATTTAATTATAGAGTTTTACTATTTTTGCTAATAGATAATGAGAACCTAATGTTCGAAGCATTTTGTTATGATTTAAAATGTACTGTTAAACCTCTTTTAAATACAGAATAACTTCTTTTAATAAAAAATCAGATTTAAATGAAACTTTTAGATATCTAAAAGTGAAAGATGAGGATCATAAAACCCAAATATTATTTTAGTTTCTAAATGTAATGGGATATCATTCTGTTGACTTTACTGCTTGTTATATAACTCCTAATATAAAAACCAAGTTTTTAAAATATTTTCCAACAAGTCGTTCCACTTACAATTAGTTGTGTTGTAATTATCAGTTGCCAAGTACTCGAACTTTAACTTGTAAAACTTCAAAAATAAATTTTTTAAGATAATTTAATTTTATTAAATTCTGTGCTACCAAACCTTGAGGAAATCAAAAATAATTTGTGTTTTATTGATTGATAAAGTTTATGTAAAAGTTGCACTGTTGAAAAGTCCACAAGAAACAACCGGCTAGTCCTCAAGAAACAAACGGCTGACAGAAAAACTAGGTCAGTTGTAGTTTATTTATAACAAAATAATTTTCTTTTCAAATTAGAGAGGTTTAGTTAACTTATTTGCACTTGGAAAAAACAATTATTAAAGTTATCTATGTTGGCTGAAACATCGATAAAGCCTAAACCTATAGAACGGCAAAAAATAAGCACTTTTTTTAAAGTCACGAGGTTAGAATTTTGTTGTTTATCTCCACTTTTTGAAAAAATCAATTTATGAAAAATTGAATGTGTTATGTACCTCAAAATAATGTTTTTTTACTATATTAAAACCTAAGTTATAACCAAAAATGTTGCAGAGAAAACACAAGAAGTAAAAATATTTCATATGTAAATAAAACCTTTTCTTGAAATAGATATTGATTTGAGTTTACAAAAAACTAAAAGTACAATATTTTGGAATATTCTACTAAATGAATTCAGGTGACGTAAAGGGTAGAGTTAGCTCCAGGTTTATTTGCATCATTACAAAGGTGGCGGATAAATTTTTGTAGATATGTGTTTAAATACATTGTTGATTTTGCAGACCTTATATTAAATTTGAAAGTGGAATGTGAGTGATTGTTTTTATGCAGACGAATTGTGATTGGATGGTTAAGTTTGTTTAAAGTTCGTTTGAGCGTGCTGAGACATACGAGATTAAGATGTTCTTCAATAGGAGGGATACCATAGTAGCTTGCCTGATCTGGATTAATACCAGCAGCTTTTAGAACGCGGTTTTGAAAGACTTGCACCCTAGATTTAGTTTTATTGGTCGTTGAGGTTAGGATAACTGTATTGTAAGTAAAGTAGCTAAAGTAGCTAAAGTAGCTAAAGTAGCTAAAGTAGCTAAAGTAGCTAAAGTAGCTAAAGTAGCTAAAGCAATAAACACGGTAGGCAAGTATAAGCATAGGCTGAGACCATCCACTAAATATTCGGAGGTGTTTAAAAAGATACTCATTTGCGGCAATTTTCTTATCTAGACTAGACCAATGCTTGTCAATATTAAGACTTGAGTTGATGTTGATGCCAAGGTATTTGTATGAGTTTACAACCTCAAGATTTTCGCTTTTTAATACTACGACTGGCTTTTCACCTCTGCCAATATAAATAACTTTGCATTTGGCAGTGTTAAGAAACATTTTATTATCATTGCACCATCCTTGTAGACTATCCGCCACTTCTTGTGGAAGGGAAGAGTTATTACCAGTTATGTAAGCTAGGATATCATCTGCATACTTCTTGTGTGTAATGGCATTCGGGAGGTAGTCATTTATGTCTAGTACATAGATTAAAAAGAGGATCGGACCTAGGACACTTCTTTGGATTACTCCTGATAAAACATCTTTTTATTCAGTAGGCTTCATGTTGAATGTAACATGTTGTTTACGGTTTGAAAAATAATTTGCAATCCAGGATGAATACCATGATGGATAGTTGATTTCAAGTTTGTACATAAGGATAATGTGGTCAACGAGGTCGAATGCTGTTGAGAAATCAAAGAATAAAGCAGTTACTGAGGTATTGCGGTCAATAGCGTATCCCCTGTCATCAATTATTTTTATGATGGAATCAATTTTATTTCTACTAGGAAGAAAACCAAAATGACTATTTGATAATAATTTATCTTGAACATACGATATAATGTGTTTTGCAAGATGCGTTCAACTATTTTGCATGTTGCAGATGTTATAGAGATCGGTCGGCCAGATGGTAGAGAAGAATTATTGACTTTTCAAATATATTTTGATAGCCTTTAAATCAAAATAAACTCATTATAAAAATAAAATTTAAAATAAGCTAAAGATAAAAATTAAAAAAAACAAGATGCCCAATAATAATAACCAAAGTTCTTAAGAAAAAAATCAAGTGTGTTTTTTGTGTGTGGAATAAACGACTTTTTTAATGTGTTGTTTGAAAAAGGTGAGTTATTTATATAATACACATAACGAGTCAGTTCATGGAAGACCCCTTATGTAATTAGATCTTCAGATAACATTGATTTAAAAGAATTGCTTGCTATAGCAACAATGGCTGAATTATATAAAACTATCATCTGTTAAACGAATTCACCAAATACAAGCATTTCACTTTTTCATACTTGTTGTGGCTTAATTAATTTGTTTTACAATCTTTTATTAAGTGAAAATGAGTATAAAATTTTAGGTTGGTTTTCTGCTAATCCGATTGAAAAATGCTTTGGAAAATTACGTAAAGAATCAAGTGGTATTTATTTTATAACCAATAACTCAGTTTCTGAAAAAGTTCGTATACAATACGCTAAGCTGGAGCTACAGCTAAATATTGATGTTGAAGGAAACTATGGCGATGACTTTTTATTTCTTAAAAATTTAATGTTATATCTTGATGATATATCTACATATAGTTAAAAGTATGAAATTTTATAATATATAATAAAAAGTATTGAATATTTTATAAAGGGACTGACTAACTATTCCATCTGACACATCTAAACTATTATATCTGATGTAAAACTATTTTCAAAGAGTATTTATCGAGTTAAAAGAAATTCATATATATAAACTTTAACATTGCTTTCACTGTTAATTGCTCAAAATGGTTATATAAAAAAAATAGCTCTGGAAAACGCTTAAAATTGCCAGAGAAGTGCTAAAACAGCTCCTAATGTGAATAGAACACTTAGGGGAAAGTTGGGTAGCCCTGGACGGCAGAAAAAAAGGTTTAGAAAACAATTAATAAGGTCCGTGCTCTCTGGCCCCCTGCTAGCGTCGGCCATCTAACGCTAGTATAACTGCTCCTCTTTTGATAGAAGTTGATTCAATACCTATGATATTCGACATTATAGCATCAACTATAAATTTAAAATCAGGGATTTTTAAAGATATATTTATACGCTCTGACCGCACAGCAGCAGAACAAGCGAAATCAATAAATTAAACTCAGAAAAAAAAATTAGCTGATTCTGACCTTGAAAAGCTTGGAAAACTTGACAAACCCTTTAGATTTATTATCAGAAGCAATTAATTACAATAATTTGATGTCTTAAAGTATGTTAAACGAAATTAGCGTAAAATGCAACTTTTTACCAAACGGAGAGATGCCCAAGCAGCCAGAATCACAAAGATACAATGAATCAAAATGTTCACCTGCAAATACTTGTTTAAATACATTAGATACAAAATTAAATTCTGCTAAATCTAACCCTAAAAGTACATTCTTTTAAAAATGTTTTACAAACTTCTTTTAATCCGGGAATAATGAACGAATTATCTGCACTCTGTGACATAAACATGCATGATTTAATCTTTATCTCTGATACATGGTTTACTGAAATATCAGCTGTTCAATTGAGTACGGTTTAACGATTTTAAAGATTTTTATTTGCTTAGCAAGCTGTTGATAGAAAAGCCTATTGTTGCATGTTACAAATAGATGGTTTTAACTTTCCGTATATCAAATGGAATCATGACGACCGGATCAAATTACTAAGTAGTCAAATCAGTCTAGCGAGTTTTTTTTTTTGTGATACTTTGGCTGAAAATAACCTAGAACTATATGTTGATTTCTTAACATTTAAAGCATCCAATAGAAAGGCAGAATATATTTTGAATTTAATTATTACAGACTCTTTAACAATAATAATCAACTTATTGCAAGATTATCGTATATTAAGTTGGGATTATGTCATCCTTTCTAAAATTGAAGCTGCTTTCACAAACAAGAAATATGGTATTAATAATATAATTTATTTTGAGGGTCCACTCCAAGTCAACCCTATGACAGACTCATTAACTGGTTTTACAAGATTTTACAAAACAACTTAACTAAAACCAATAATTTCCTTGAAAAACATAGTCTGTCTACATTTAAACTCATTAAAGAAATGCAATTCAACAACTGACATAAGCAGTTTGTTTCATGATTTTAACACTCAACTTGTCAAGAAACTTTCTTGAAGATTAT